CTCCCTGGCCCCGCCCCTGGCCTCGCCCCTCCTGACCACCCATCTGACCCCACCCTATCCTCCAGTCCAGCTGCTGCCTGCCCCACCCCGCCCACACCCCGCCCCTCTTGACAGACCGCTCCGCCCGCAGGTCCACCCGGCGCCGCACCCCGCGTGCCGCTCGCTGCTCTCAGACCGCAGCTCCACGACGCTTATCGTGTTGGGCTTCCTCTCACTGCCTCCACTGCTGGTACTCGCTTCGGCCGCCCGCGCCCGCCTGGCCCGATGCCTCCGCCAGCTGCTGCCTCCCCCCACTTGGAGCCCCGGACCCCGCCGCCACCCCGACGGGGAGGAGCAGCTCTGCGCCTGGTTGTGACCCCCCAGAGGCCCTCCAAAGGACCCGAGACCTCCAAATACAAGAAGGCCCCCGAATTCCCCTGGTGACCCCCATAAGGTGGCCCCACTGGCGAGCTCAGGCTCTGCGTCTAGGTCCGGCGGGGATATCGTGCGCGTGCCTCGGGGCTCGTGCGTAGTGCTCGGAGTAGCCACGAGATGGCACCGGACTCCCTCGGACCGAGGTTGGCCCTTCCCCACCCCCGCAGGCACCCCTGCTGCCAGAGTGGCTGGGAAGCCCCTAGGCGGAGAAATGGCTCTCCGAGAAGGGGCCAGGCTCCGAAAGGCGGCCTACCTGGCGTCTGCCCTGAGCTCCCGCTCCCGCACAGAGGGCTGCCCCTGTGGGCTCCCATGTCTGGTCAGTCAGCCGGCCTCCAGCGAGTTCCAGAGGTGGTGAGACTTCCACACTTCACCACAGCACGTGTTTCCAGAAGCTCAGTGGGGCCAGCAGTCCCAGGGCTTGCGGGGCTCAGCCTGTGACCATGGTCAGGGCTCATTCTGAGACCCAGATTAACACTGACATAGGCACCAGAGTGATGGCTCAGTGTGTTGCCTCTGGATAATTTTAAGGTATCTGTCTTTCACATTTTGAAATTTCTAGTTGTGGATATGTCCTTAATTATCCATTTGGTCTATGGGGTGTTTCCCGTTCCTAAGGATTCTATTTCATCCGTTCTGGAGAATTCTCAGTCATTATCTCTTCAATTCGGCCTCTCATTCATTGTATGTATGCTTTCTTGGGGAACACCTATCAAATGAATGCTTCACCTTTTCCTTTTAACTCCATATCAGCTCATCTCTCTTTCATGTTTTCCATCTCATTGTCTCTCTGTGCTGCATTCTGGACAATTCCTTCATCTCCCTCTTCCAGTTCACTAAGGCATCTGCTGATTAACTCATGCATTCAATTTTAAATTATTATACTATACTTAAAAGTTATACTTGCTTCTTTTTCAAATCTGAGCATTTTTTATGGTCTCTTGGTGGCATGCTCAAGTTTTGGTTTCCAGCTTCAATTTCTTGAACATTTCACATCGAGTTTTTTAATATTCTGTACCTAACAATACCTAACAATTCCGATATCTTAAGTCTTTGGGGGTCTACATTTGTTGTGTTGTTTCTGCTGGCTCTCACTAATAGCATATTGTTTCCTTGAATGTTTGATAATTTTTTTTTGCTAGCCCATATGTGTGAAAATTCTGAGGCCATGAGCGCCCACCAGCCTGGCCCCCATTAGGTCCTGCCCTGGTAGTCCTTTTGCAGTGGCCACACTGGGGTCCCTGACTACGGTGTGGCTCCCAGCACTGCGTCCGGGACACTGCTGCTTTCCCATTTGCCTTCTTGCATCATCCTGGTTTCTGCTCATTCTTCTGCTTATTTATTTACTTTCAGTGTTTAATTGGGGGGGGGCGGTATTTGGAGATATTTGCTTCCTTGTAAGGCCAGCAGTGTATTAAAATGTGTACCGCTTATAACTGATCCAGAGTCTAGTGGTAGCTACAGGGCCTAGTAAAGGATCTAGCCAGCAGGACTTCGCCTGGGACCAGCTGGGTTGGGGCTCAGATATGCCCAAAGGTCAGAGCTCAGGGTGGGACCAGGGTCAGGGCTTACTCCATGGCCTTGAGCAGAGCGTGGTGTGTGGCTGGCTCGGGCCCAGCAGGAATGCTCCGGGTTTTCCAGTCGTCTGTGCCCAGCTCTGATGCCTTTCCCCGTCAGACAGGAGCCTGGCCAGCCGCCCAGCTGCCAAGGATAGCTTCCCCTGATCCAAGGCCGCCTCCCTTCCCTCCTGCCCACGGCTGGAGGATGAGGACTCTCCTGAGGATCCTCCTGGCCCCGGTGTCATCAAAACAACAGCTGGGCCTGTGAGGGTGGGGAGCCATGGTGGGGCGCTCAACTGCCTGGGCCTGCGGAGTTCCTATGGTGTTGTACAGTGTCCCAGGCCACCCCTGAGGCCCCAGGGAAGTCCTGCCTCAGCCCCAGTTCTGCCCCACCTGCTCACAAAAGGAACACCTGTGGGGGACTGTGGGAGGTTCACAGGAGGGACCTAGGGGTCTGCTTTTAGAGAGCCAGCTGTCAGGGAAAGCGGAAACTGCGTGCTGGGGGCCAGGGGCTGGCCCACCAGAGAGGACCAGAAACATGCCTCTGTGCCCTGGGGGGTGGCACAGGAGGACCCTCCATTCTTTTATGTGTTCTAGCTGGTATTCCTTATCTTCCACCATCTGGACAGGCTCCTGGTAACGGGGATGGGGGCCTGGCCTTCCAGCCACAAAGCTCCCCCTCAAGGCCTGTCATTCAGATGACCTTCTCAGCCTTTCTGTCCTGCCTGGGCAGGACCCCACCTGGACCCACAAATCTCTACCTCTAAACCTTTGCCCAGAGCCCATGACAGAAGCCCCTTTCGGGCCCTCAGCCCCCCAGGACCAGCTCCCATCCTGATGGAGCTTCTGCTCCCCTCCCCCAAGAGCCCTCTCATCCCTCTCCTGCAGATCTAGGAGCACTGACCTCGACCCCCCTCCATCCATCCAGGGGCCGAACTCCTCAGAAAGCAGTCGCTGATCTACTGGACAGGGGGTGGGGTGGGGCTTTGATGGCTTTCTCCCCACCCAGGTGCCCAGGCCTGTGCCCTGTAAAAGTGTGCCTGGCTGTAGGGGCCTCCACGCACCTGTGTGTGCATTGTGTGTGTGTGCACATGCATGCGTGTGGGTGCCTGTGTGTGCAGGTGTGCCTGTTCAGGCTTGTGCATGCATGCATCTGTCCTGTCTGCCTCCCTTCACGCCTTGGGTGGGGGCATTGTCCCGACCCCCCCACATGCATGGAGACTCTGCCAGTTCCCCTGACCTGCTCAAGGTCATTTATTCATTCACGAACTATTTCCTGGGAGCTTGGGCATCTGCAGGCACGCCCTTGGACAGCACAGCGGTGAGCAGCTAGGAGGCGGCAAGGGATTTGGGTATTTCCAACCCTCCAGCTTGGGGCCCAGTGTGAGCCCTGCCCCGCACCCTGCTTGTGGGCCTGGCAAGGGGTACTGGGCAGGACCTGAGCTGGGGTGTGTGGGCTGGGTGGGAACAGGCAGGGCCTCGCACTGGCTCTGAGGTCTAAGGCCCCTGCTCCCTGGGTCCCACCCCCACCCCCACCTCTGGGGAGTCCCCCACAAGGCGGACACCGGTCTGTCCCTCCCTGCTCTCTCCTTCCCTGTGCAAGCCTATGGGGTCCCTGTCTGGGGCTACAGCAGGATGCGGTGGTCACCTCCCTGTTACAGAGGGTTCTAGCAGAGGGAACCAAAGCTAGGGGATCCCACTTTGGGAGGACACCACTGTTCGTTCCCTTCACAGACCAAAAACCCAGGAGTGCTCTGGATGCTGTCCTTCCCCTCTGCCTCCCGCCGCTGCCCATTAGGCTCTGCCTCTGACAGCAGCTACCTGGGCATCTTCTTGGAGCACCCACCCTACCCCTGCACATGCCATGGGCCCTTGCCTGACATGACGGCCCTACAGCCTGAGCCCACCCTTTCTGCCCCCCAGGCCTCCTTACTGCTCTCACACACTGGCCAGCCCCCGCCCCAGGCTCTTAGCACTTTCTGTAGCTCCTGTCCCCCTGGTCTGATGTGGCCTCGCCCTCCATGGGGAAAATAAACAGACTTGCATCTTTGCAAGCATGCCACTGCCCCTTCTAACCCTTCTCCCAGCAGGGCTGGGAGGACAGGGGATCTGCCCAGGGCTAGCGTGTCCCCATTATACAGAATGTGGCATGTGGCCAGGCCCAGCACAGAGGTGATGGATGAATCCAGACAGGGTGGCACCCCGCCTTCATCCCTGCCACCCTGACAGGGTATCTGGATAGGGGTCAGCTGTGGGGCCATAGGGGTGCAGGCCTGGGCTCCTGGGGAGAAAGAGGCCGGGACCTGCAGACCCCCAGGACCGGTCCTTAGGCCCTGGCACATCCCTGACCACAAACAGGCAGGTGGAGTCTAGAAGAATGTGTGAGTCGAGCAGCTGGGTGGGGAGAGGAAGGGGACTTTGGGTCCTGCTGTTTTTGGGTGCCCCCTCCCTCTGTCCCACTTACTGTGGGGTGGGGTCAGGGGGCCTTGGCCCACAGCAGCCACCCCCCTTTCATTTCTGTCCCTGTTCCATCCCCTGGTGGGTACGTGTGTAAGATGCCAACAACATGAAAATCACTGTGGATGGGGACAGGATCAGCCCCATCTGCCCCTTAGGCCCAGCAAAGTGCTCTAGGCTGGGGTCAAGGGTGGGGTTGGAGGCCCCAGGAGCTGCCCTTTTCCCTGGGGTCAACATGACCACAGTGGGCTGGGGACAAAAGGCCCTTCTTCTCTGCAGAGGCCTGGATTGTGCGGAGGAGGAAGCCTTTTGAGGACCGGGTGGGGGTAGGGGTGGTGCCTGCAGACAGCAGTGTCCCAGGGTTTCCTGGAACCCCCTCCACCTGCTTGTAGACAGACAGGCGGGGTCAGCCAGCTCCGGGAAGTGATGTGTGGAGAATCCCAAGCGGGCCAAGGCCATGAGGCAGCGCTGCCTCAGCTGGGCTGCTCCTTCCTCCTGGTCCCCAGGATGCCAGGACCAGGCAAGGGCTGGGCCTGGGGGAGGGAGCGGCCTGAGGGCCGGGGCCTGCTGTGTCCCGGCTCTTTCCCTTCTCTGTCTGTCCCCTTGCCCCCAGTCTGTCTTCCTTCTGAGACGAGCTTTCCGGGCCATTATATTTGTGCTTCCTCTGGCGTCTGTCTCAAGCTCAGCCCCGGCCCTGACCGCTACACCCCTGGCTGACCCCCACACTCCCTGGGGACTCTCTCTCTGCCCATTCTTCCCTGGGGGGGGGGCGTGCAGGACACAAGAATGAGACTTGCCTTCACGGTGGTGACAGGGGTAGTGTGGCAGCCGGCCAGCTAGAGCAGAGCAGATGGGAGGCAGGGGGAGTCTTCTGTGGGTCAGGTGAGAGCTCGGCATGGGCAGCAGTGACTCCGGGCAGAGATGAGGAGGAGCTCTGGGCCAGGGCAGGTGGCAGAGCCCAGGAAAGGCTGGGTGGAGGCCCAGGCTGGGCCTCCTACCCTGTCTCCCTCAGACGGGGAGGCTGGAGGGAGGAGGCAGCTGCTTCCTCGAGGGCCTGAGTCCTGGCCAAGAAGACCCGCTCAGTTTTTCCAGAAGGGACGGAAACTTCCTCGTCAGCCCAGCAACACAAGCCTTGGTGTGACTGTGGGCCCGCCCGCTGAGCAGGAGTGGGGACAAGTGGGGAGGTTGCTGCCTTGCCACGGGGGTGGGGGGAACCCCCCTTGGCCCAGCTCCCTGCCCCAGGCAGGTGGGTGCCCAGGGAGATGGAGGATGAAAGGAGAAGTGTCGGACGCGTCTACACGGGCGTGCTACCCCCCAGGGCCCCTGGGGGAACTCCCTGCTGGACGCCTGGGCCTCCTCCAGCTGCTGCTGTTGCCTGATCCTGGCCTCCACTCACAGTCCCCATCTCCACAGCAGCCCTGGTCAGCCTTGAGTGCTGGAAGGCTGGGGGCCACCCAGGGCCCCTCTGGGCAGCACACGCTGGACTTCGGGGGCCCAAGCCCACCACTCCCCACAGGGCCCAGGCGGAAGCACCGGGCAGCCGAGGCCTGAGGTCTGTGGAGTGGAGCCAGCACTGTCACTGCCAAGATTCCCGGCAAGGGGTGGGAGCGGCGGGGACACAGTTCTCGTTTTGTTCCTGCCCCAGCTCCTCAGGCTCAGCTGAGCCACTTCCTTTTTTAGGCAAAGTAGAGCTCAGCCTGTTTCATGGCCTGCATCTTACCTGCCAGAAAGGGAGGAAGGAACACCATTGAGTCCCACACTTCCTCCTCCCAGAGCATCCCCTGGGGAGGGAGAAAAGGGAGGGGACATCCTGGCAGAGACGCCCCCACCCCCCGGAGTTCCCCCCCAGTTCCGCAGGGATGAGTGGCTGGGAAAGGGCAGTAGTTTCCCAACAGGAAGGCATCTTAGGAGTGAGGGGTCGGGCTCTCCTGGACCTCAGCTCCTGCCCAGGGAACACTGTCCCGCCCCACCGAAGGGCAGGACATCCGCCCTGGGGGAGCTAAGTGCCCCTTGGGATGCTTCATGCAGCCAGCCACCTCTGGTCTGGCCTAGCCAAGATCTCAGGACACAAGGCTCACCCGTGGGTCCCTCCGGAGCGAAGCTCCAGTGGGTCGCTGGGGGTCTGTCCTTAGTCCTGGAGCTAGACCTCAGCCTGGGCCCTGGGCCCCTCATTGGGCAGGGTATCGGGACAGCAACAGGCCTTGCATGGTCACCCCGGACAGGGCCTGAAGCAGCAATCTCCAACTCCCAAGAAGCCAGGTAGGGTAGGGGTTTTATGTCCCCCAAGAAGCCCCTCCTCAAGTGTCACAGGCTTCTGTCCTACTTCCAGTGCTCTGGGTCCTTTCTAATTTCAGCCCTTCCAATCCCTGTTACTCAGTCCTGGGGACACAAGTCCCAGCCCCCAGACACTTTCCCCTCTCTCAGCCCTGTAGTCTAGTCCAGGCCAGGGCCTGGGCTTTGATGGGGGTACATTGTTCTTGGTGTCACTCCCACCCTCTCACACCCCTGGGTCCTCTTGGGCAGCGCTTCAGGGATTGATTCCCAGCACTGCAGAGACGTGGGCTGTGGGCCTGGGAATGATCCGGCTTGGTGGGTCCTTGTCGTCTCCTGGCTGCGGGCAGGGGGCAGGGCGCACCCCACGGCCTCACAGTCGGAAAGGGAGATGCAGCGCGTGTGTGCATACAGGCCCACGAGTGTGTGCCTCGGTCACATCTCGGTGAGCGCTGGGTGTTGCTGTTCGTCTGGGTCCTCCGTGCGCGCGCCTCCCCGGAGCCTGCGTCTCGGTGCGCGGCTGAATGCGCGCACCGGGGCGGGGCCTCGACGGGCGGGGCCTCTAGGGGGCGGGGTCGTGGTCCGGCCAGTGCGGAGGCGCGCGTTGCCGCCCAGGAGCGAGCGAGCGAGGGAGCTAGCGGCGAGAGGACACCCAGCGCGCCCCGTCCGGTCGCGCACGATGCTGCCCTGGACGGCGCTCGGCCTGGCCCTGAGCCTGCGGCTGGCGCTGGCGCAGAGCGGCGCAGAGCGTGGTGAGTGCGGCGCACGGCGGGGCCGGACTCCGGCGCCCCCTTCACTCCCCGCCGCCTGCGCGGGGCGGTCGCTCTTCTTACGCGGCCACGGGTTGGCGGCGGCCCGCGGGGTACCCCACCCACCTGTGGCGGGCGGGCTCAGGTGCCCCTGGCGGCTCGACGAGCGCCGGGTCTTGAGGCCGCTGTCTGCCTTGTCGGCATCTCCGCCGGATCGTGGGGCCTGGACGGGAGGGGGAGGTGTCAGGGAGGCTGTCCCTTCCTCAGTTTCCCTCTCCTTGGAATGACCCTTAGTAGAGGGATAACAAGAAGGCTGGAGTCGCCCCACCGAAATGGGGAAAATTGAGGCCGCAAGGCCCATTCCAGAAACAAGGCACCCCAGTCCATGGCCCAGTGGTAGAGGAGAGCATCTGCCAACCCCCCAGGGGTGCTGGGAGGAAGGGGGAGGCCGGGAGGCGCTGGTGGAACCCTCAGGCTGCTGTATCGAGTAACTTGCTTCCTGGGTCCAGATGGAACAGAAGATGGGGGCCAGGGGAGGGGTGATATCATCTGTAAGTGGGGATAAGACTCCAGCCTGGCCTTCTGGACTGTGGGAGGGGCTGCGATCAGCGCTCTGTCTCCTCCATACTTGCACCTCCCCCCTCCAGTCGCCCCAGTTGCTTTGCGCCCGCCTCCCCCATGCCCCACCTGTTGCCTTACCTGGAAGCTGAGCTGTGTGGCTGCACTTCAGCCTGGGGGCTGCTTCTCTGGAAGACAAGCCTAAGGGAGGAGCCCCTCACCTGCCACTCCTGAGGATTGGGCCTGTGGCTCCAGCCTGTGTGCAGTCTGCTTAAGAAAGGGAGAGTGGGGGCTTGGAGGGGTCAGCTCTCCTTTACAGATGAGGTATGAGCCCAGAGAGCTCCCCAGGTGTATGGTCAGGGTTCAGAGCTGGGATTCACTGAGCGTGGGCCTCTTGTTGGCTCAGGGCCCCTCTGCCCCCAGGGCGCCACCCCCAGGACCTTTGGGGTGGGACTGAGCAGGCTTTCAGGGCCTGCTTGGGTGAAGGCAAGCACCAGCTTAGGGAAAGCTCAGGCCCTGGGGGTTCTGCCCTGGGTGGGGAGCTGTCTGGGGCCACCACCTGGGGCTGAACCCTCCCCCTCTCTCCCAGGTCCCCCAGCGTCAGCCCCCCAGGGGGACCTGCTGTTCCTGTTGGACAGCTCGGCCAGCGTGTCTCATTATGAGTTCTCCCGAGTTCGGGAGTTTTTGGGGCAACTGGCAGCCCCGCTGCCCCTGGGCCCTGGGGCCCTGCGTGTCAGCCTGGTGCACGTCAGCAGCCAACCACACACCGAGTTCCCCTTCAGCCAGCACAGCTCAGGTGCGGCTGTACAGGATGCCATACGTGCTGCAGCCCAGCTCATGGGTGACACCAACACTGGCCTAGCGCTGGCATACGCCAGGGAGCAGCTGTTTGCTGAAGCGGCGGGTGCCCGGCCGGGGGTGCCCAAGGTGCTGGTGTGGGTGACAGATGGCGGCTCCAGCGACCCCGTGGGGCCCCCCATGCAGGAGCTGAAGGACCTGGGCGTCACGGTCTTCATCGTCAGCACTGGCCGTGGCAACCTCCTGGAGCTGTCGGACGCCGCCTCGGCCCCTGCTGGGAAGCACCTGCACTTCGTGGATGTGGACGACCTGCACATCATTGCGCAGGAGCTGAGGGGCTCCATTATGGGTAGGTGGGCTGCGATGGGCAGGGCCTGGGGGCCCCCCAGCTAGGAACTCAGGAGGAGAGCTGGAGTGAGACTTCAGGAGGAACTCGTGTGCCTGGAGCAGGGTCCCGGGGCTGCAGGACAGTGGTGCTTCCTGTGGTTCATGGGGAGGTGACAGTGTGCGCCTGGTGTGCCCCACCACCTGGACTGTGGAGGGACAGAGGGGCAGGCCTGTGTGAACAACTCCAGGTGGGGCTCTCTGCTGCCTGACCCAGCTCAGCCCAGGGCTGGAGGCCCCTCAGAGTGCTGGGCCTGTGTGGGCCCAGGGGCCGAGGGCTGCACTGGTGGGAAGCAGCTAAGTGGAAGAAAGAGGAAGGAGGTTCCAAGCCTGGGCACTCTGCAGATGGCAGCATGTGCCCCTGGACGTGTGCCAGGGCCCACAGTGCCTGGAGAGGGGAGAGCCAGGTCAGGAGGGGCCAGGACTGCCCCCCACAGTTACTTGCCTCCGCACTTCCCCTTCGGGTGAGGACACCTATGGAAGCTTTGAGTGGGTTTGCATTGCAGGCGGGTGTGGGGACTGTTGGATCCTGGAGAGGAGACCAGACCAGGGAGGGCCCGCTGTAGGAGCTAGCAGCTCCCCACAGACTTGCTTCTGCAGCCCTGATCCAGCCAAACCCCACAGGGGGAGGGGCTGGAAATAAAGGGCCTGGTCACTGGCTCTGCCTGCTCCAGCCACTGAAAAGTGCCACTAGCCCCAGGGTCTTCCCAAGTCTCTGCCTGTGAATTAATCATCCACCCCAAACCAGAAGCAGTTGTTAGACTGTGGGTTGTAGAGAGGTAGAGGGTCCTTCCGAAGATTTCCACCAGGGACACCTGGCCTCTGGTTGCCTCCACTGTAGCTGAGCCTGGAAGGGAGAGCAGCAGAAAAGGCAAGCAGCTGGACAGGAAAAACGGAGGCTGCAGGGCAGTCAGGCAGGGTGCGGGCCTCCTGGGATTGGGAGTGGGTGTGAGTGTGGGGGATGGGCAGGAGAGTGAGTGCCAGGCAGGCAGTTGGGGCAGCCAGCATTAAGGGAAGAAGCATCAGAATGGAGACGGGCTTAACCCTGCCCAGACATGTACCAGCCATATGCGCCTGCACGGTCACTCGGATAGCTCAGGGGTAGTGCATGCTTAGGGTCCCACTTTGGGGGGGTCACACTCTCCTGGGGACCTGAGGCAGGCAGTAACCCCAGCCCCAGGTCATGGAGTTGTCACATCCCACGGCCTCTCAGGGCATTCCCTGGTGGCCTCCCATCTCCTGGCTTCACCCCGCTTTGCCCTGACTATCCAGACTGAAGCTGAGCCCAGATCCTGTGCTGGCCACTCAGGCTGGATAGGGGGCTGGTCCTCTGTTCTCAGACATCACCTTGGGCCCTGCCACCTTTGAGTGGCCCTTGTCTAGGCCACTGCACACTGGGTGGGCAGTGGCCCAGATAGCTTCCCAGTGGTCTGGTCTGGGTTTGGGGCTGAGGCAGGCAGGGAAACTCCTGATGGGGCTGGATGTGGCGGCTGCACTCCTGTCCTTCCCCCAGCCGCGTAAAGGTTTTGAGTATTATTAGCATCTGCGGGGCGTGGTTGAAGCTGGCCTGACTCCCCAGTGCTCCTGTTCCCTGCATCCCATGGGGTCTTCCCTGAGTCAGCAGTCAGGGCCCCAGGACTGGACACGAGGAGGTGACCTTGGTTCCCTGATGCCCTGTCACCCACAGACGCAATGCGGCCACAGCAGCTCCGTGCCTCTGAAGTCACATCCAGCGGCTTCCGCTTGGTGTGGCCGCCCCTGCTGACTGCCGACTCTGGCTACTACGTGTTGGAGCTGGCACCCAGCGCCAAGCCAGGGACCGCGCGTCGCCAGCAGCTGCCGGGGAACGCCACAGGGTGGGCCTGGGCCGGCCTGGACCCCGACACAGACTACGACGTGGCGCTGGTGCCAGAATCCAACGTGCACCTCGTGAGGCCGCAGCACCTGCGGGTGCGCACGCTGCCGGGTGAGGCGGGGCGCGGGGGCGCGGGCGGGCGCGGGGGCGTGGCCGTGGCCCCCACCCACTCATGGGCGCTTCCCCCGCAGAGGAGGCCGGGCCAGAGCGCATCGTCATCTCACACGCCAGGCCCCGCAGCTTGCGGGTGAGCTGGGCCCCGGCGGTGGGCCCGGCTGCCGCGCTCGGCTACCACGTGCAGTTCGGGCCTTTGCGAGGCGGCGCGGCGCAGCGCGTGGAGGTGCCCGCGGGCCACAACAGCACCACGCTTCAGGGCCTGGCGCCCGGCACCGCCTACCTAGTTACGGTGACGGCGGCCTTCCGCTCCGGCCGCGAGAGGGCGCTGTCAGCCAAGGCCTGCACGCCCGACGGCGAGCGCAGCCGCGCCCCGCGTCCTTCGCTGCCGCCGGGGGCGGGGGGCCGGGGGCCGTGAGCTGGCTGCCCCGCCTACTCGAGGGCCCCTTCTCCCGAACCCGGTGGGGAGGCGCCCGCCGCCTAGACCAGGGTCTTGTCCTGGGGGGGTGGGGGTGCGGGCCGGGCCTCTGCCCCGCGGCTACTCCGCGGGGCTCCCAAGCCCTCTCCCCGCGGCCGGAGCCGGCGTCTGCCTTCCAGGACGCGGGGTTCGCCCGACTCCGCGGCCTAACTCCGCTGCAGCTCTGGCAGCAGAGCTTACCATTGCGACTCCATACCCTGGCAGACCCAGAGCGGGGCACTTCGTGGTGTCCTTCGGGCAGGATTTAGCGGGGAGATGGATAGGGAGTCTGGGGGCGGGTTGAGAACATCAGACCCAGGACTGGCCCTCGCCCTGGACCGGAGGGCAGCCTGTCTGGCAGCCGGACCTCCCACTTGTGTGAAGGGACAGTCGTGTGAGAGAGGTTGGCCCAGATGGCCGCTGCGGTTCTGGATGTTGATAGAAGGTGGATGGGGGAAGGGGAGGAGTGCTGGGCGGCTGACGGTGTGGTAGTGGTTGGTGGGTAGAAAGGTGGCCTTTACCAGGACACTCAGCTGGCGTGCGGGCAGTGCCTGCCAGGGACAGTGGCCCTGCCTTCCTGCCCAGGATCCTGATGGCCCAGCTACAGGCACCTTTTGCGAGGACCAAAGCCTGGCATTCAGGACCCTGCAGACAGCACGGGCAGGGAGCCTCCCCTTGCTCCTGGGTGGGTGGGCTTCCATTTGGGGGCGAGGATGAACAAGTGTTCCCTGGGTGGGTTCACCCCAGGATTCTCTACATATTCTGCCACCCCTCCCCCACCACAACTTGACTATTCTGGGGCCACCAAACAAGTCCCAAGGGCAGGCAGCACTGCTGCCCCCAGCGCCACCAGGCACGTCGTCCTCTGCCTCTTTCCCACTAACGTCTCACACTTTAAAATACAGTAAATCAGACGTAAACTGAGCCCTGCAGTCTCCTTAGAATGCTTTCCTCCTTGTCAAACACTGCAGCCCCATAAAAGGGCCTGGGTGGATGACCCGTGTTGCACCTGCTGGGGAAAAGAAAGGGGAGCCTTCTGTGACCCCTCCATGTACTTCCTCTTCAGAGTATCCTGGCCCATTTCTGTGGGCAGGGATTCTGAGGTTTGGATGGGGCGGTTGTTGGAACGCTGGGGACAACGGCCTGGGTCTGCGGGGGCTGCCCCACCCGTTTCGGCCAGGGCTCAGGACTGGGGCCGCGGCGCCCTCTGCTGGCAAGGCGACGCCTTCAACGGCAGTTTGAGTTTCCCTCATGACAACCACCACAGGGGCCTGGGTGGGTGGATGGTGTGTGTGTGTGTGTGTGTGTGTCTGTCTGTCTGTCTGTCTGTCTGTCTGTCTGTCTGTCTTCAAGCTCTGAGCATCACGTGCCCCTGGTGTCCCTTACCCAGGTGCCCAAGACCTGCACTGCCCACTAGTTCAGTGTGCTTAGCGTTCGTGGGGGCCCACTGTGTGCCACGCCAAGGTTTGCCTATGTGACCATGGCACAAGACAAAGTCCCCCGCCCTTCCTATGTGAGCAGAGTGGGGATTGGGACTAAGGTGGTGGGTCCAAGGCCCCAGGGCAGATGGCAGTGCCTGGTTATGCCAGACTTGGTCGGGGGGGCTGCTGTCAGGTGTGTGTTGGGTTTCTCCATGTCCCTCAACTCCACTGAGTCAGGCTCAGGGAGCCTGAGTGGGACTGGCCTGTGTGCACTGCAGGCTTGTGCTTACAACCTGCTTGGTGGTCAGCAGGCAGCCGAGGGTCAGAGACTCCTAAGAGCACAGAGGCTGCCCTGACCTCAGGCTGCTGGGTGTGAACAGCAGGGCCCCACGTGGCATTGACCAGTGAGGGGAACCCTCCTTAGGCCTGGGCCTTGGGCCTGATCTGCCCCTAAGAGGCAGAATTCCCCCCATGCAGGGCCATGTCCCCCACGCGGACCCACCTTCCACACTGAGCCCCCGTCTGGCTGGCAGGTCCCTTCCTAACGGCTCAGTCACACACTTGAGACAAGTTGACTGATGAGCTCCTTCTCCCCCAAACACGCTCAAACCCCAAGAGAGGGCAAAGTGGTTCAGACACTGCCTACCCCTGCAAGAGGCTCTGGCTTCACCACATCTCTGCTGGATGCTGAGGCCCAGTGAGGGGCCCCCACTTCCATCTCTGTGCCAAAGAATGCGTCTCCTGAGAGCCCTCATCCTGGATACACCGCCCTTTGCACCGTCCCAGGCAGTTCTTAAAGGCCTTTGAGTCTGGGTCACATCTGCTCCCTTTCCTCTTCACTGACACATGGGTCCTAAGTCCTCTGGGTTGGGGCCCTGACTGATGACTGCCAGGACTGACACAGGCCACTTGGTACGGCAGCTGTAGGCTTCCCCACATGTCCCTGAAAAACAGCATGGGCTGTACTGGGTTTGCTTCTGGTTGAAGACTATCCTCGCAGCAGGCAGGCATTCCTGTGGCTGGGAGGGGACCCCACAGGGAGGGTCCTCCAGCAGCATGGGGGCCGTGCTCATGTGGGAGCTGCTGTCACATCTGTGTGGGTCCTGAGGAGGAGTCCAGCATTCACCACAGCTGTGCCTCTATTCACCCTCCCTGGGGCCTTCACTGCAGGTGGGGGCTCGCTGCGAAGGCCAGCCTGGGTGGTTCTCCAGCTCCTGAAGCCCTTGCACAAAAGCTGTCTGCGAGGAGGCTGGTAGTACCTAAGGCCTGGAGCCCAAGTCTCTGGGAAGTGGGGTTTCCACCAGTGGGTGATGCAGCCAGCTCATGACTCAAACAGTTTTTCCATGGCGTCATCCCCATGAGATGGACACACCAGTCCTTACAGCCTCCAGCTGGGGAGAGGGGATAGTTCCGGGAAAGCAAAACTCAAGTGCACCAGATATGTGCTGCTTTTGCTCTGCGATGAAACATTTTCTTCCAACGTCCATTAAAACAAAAAATGCCAGTGGAAATCGTACATCTTAGAAGTGAGTATGATTGACATGGGGGCACAGCGAGACCCTGCCCCTGGGTCCCAGCCCCAGCAAAGGGTGGGGGTAGGAGTAGCTTCTGGCTGCCAGCCCTCAGGGGTCGGGGGCAGATGGGGGGCTCCTGAACCTGCTGCCATTCTTGGGAAGGGGAAGGGTGAGGTCTCCTAGGCAGGAATGGGTAGGGCGGGGGCAACACTAATGCATTCTCATTAAAACACCTGCCACGAGGCCGGCTGAGTGGCGCGATGGTTAAAAACTGGCTTGGGATGCCAGAGGGCCCCGGTTCGGATCCCACATATGAGGGCCAGTGACACTGCCCTCCACAGCTAAGATGCTGAACAACAGCTCAACCTGGAGCTGGGCTGCCGTGAGTCGCCGGCGACGGCGTAGGCTGCAGCCCCTGTGGCAGTGGGTTGCCATGGGCTACCGTATGTAGCCAGCAGCCAGCGTGAGCGGCCAGCAGCCGCCGTGAGCGGCCGTCCAGAAGCCGGTGACTGATCTGCCTCGCCCGGGAAGAGCGCAATGATGGTGCCAACTTGGGCCAGTGAAGCAACGTCCTCCACAACTAGACTGAAGAACAAAAGGACAGCAACTTGTCTGTTCCCCTTCCCCCAATTCCCCAGCACTGTTCCCATCCCCAATTCCCCAATAAAAAAAATCTTAAAAAAAAACACCTGCCACGAATTGCCCATGTTTCAGAAGTGCAGGTGAACTCACCTGTGAGAAATGATAGCGCCTTAGCCACAGATGGGAGAGCTTTGTGGGAAGAAAAGGCCCCAACCTCACCAGGTGTGGGGACAAGCACAGGAAGAGAGTGGGAGGCCAGCAGTTTGCCTGAGCCCCTGACCACACATCCACGGGACTGGAGGCCACAGTGCACCTGCCCTGGTGCCCCACATGGGGTGCACAGTGCTGCCCATGCAAGAGGGTGAGAGCCAGGAACTTAGTTTCCCATGAGGCTGGGGCCCAGGCCAGTCCCTGTCCCTGCCACCTCTTCTGCACCAGGGCCAGTTTCTGCTAGACACGAAAGTCTCTGGGCTGGGCCACTCCCACAGGTGCCTACTCCCAGCCCCTCTCAGAGGACACCAGGGCTCCCTAAGTGGCTGTGGGGTAGGTTTGAGCGACTTGCCTCTGAAGTCTTTCCAGACTGTGCAGCTGACCTGCTTTTCTGCTGGGGGCGGGGCAGAGGTGCTGGCTCAGCCCCCCTGAAGGGCCAGTGGTGCTCACAGCATGTCTCCTGTCAGCAGGGCGGGTGGGCAACTGACTGTGCTAAGGGACCCCTACCCCGAGTGCCTCTGGGGAGGCCTGGCTGTGCTGACCTCCTGCTGGGGGGGAGGACATGGACTGGGGCATCTAAGCAGGCAGCTGCTTACCGAAATGCAAACAGTGCACAAGCCTGGAGGGGCAGTGAGCTTTGGCCCAGTCCTAAGTCCCTCTCCAGTGCTGGGTGTCCAGGCGCCGCCCACGGGGAGGAGCTGCAGGGGCCCTGCGGAGAGCTGGGAGCCCTGGTTTTATTCCCCCCTCTTTTAGCCATTTCTTTGTATTTAGTTCATGTTCAATGCACATCAGTTCCATAACATGAGAAGTCACTATGAATCAAAGCATAAATACACAAACATGATACACAACCCACAGTTTATGTCCAGCATTCACTAGGAAACAGCAGTGCCATTCTCAGGTCTCTTGGGTGTGATGTTCCCATGTAGGATTTTTTTTTTTTAAGATTTTTATTGGGGAATTGGGGGAAGGGGAACAGACAAGTTGCTGTCCTTTTGTTCTTCAGTCTAGTTGTGGAGGACATTGCTTCACTGGCCCAAGTTGGCACCATCATTGCGCTCTTCCCAGGCGAGACAGATCAGTCACCGGCTTCTGGACGGCTGCTCACTGCGGCTTTTGGCCGCTCACGCTGGCTGCTGGCCACACATGGCAGCCCACGGCAAACCACTGCAGCAGGGGCTGCAGCCCACGCCGTCGCCAGCGAGTCACAGCAGCCCAGCTCCAGGTTGAGCTGTTGTTCAGCATCTTAGCTGTAGAGGGCAGTGTCACTGGCCCTCACATGTGGGATCTGAACTGGGCCCTCTGGCGTCCCAAGCCAGCCCCTAACCAACGCGCCACTCGGCCGACCCCGCATGTAGGTTTTTAAATACAGAAAAAAGAACTTTGGTTATTGAGACACTAAGCAGCAGTGTGTGACTGTGCGAACACGAGACTTTAGGGCGTGTGTGTTTTTAAAAAGGTTTCTATGCATCAAGGCAGTTGTGAAAAGATTTACTTTGCAGAATCGAACCCACTTTAGGCGTAGGACCAGGCTTTATCTCAAAATATTGACTGACCACAGAAAGTGTCCCAAATGTGGCCATTCTGATTCATAGAGCTTTTCCGAAACAAGTACAGAAAGAATCTAATGCCCATTCGCCTCCAGTCTTCACCTCCCAGGTATGTGATTTACAGTTTGGCTCCTTCATATATTTGCCTGTTCAACCTTAAGATTTGTCCATTTCACCTTCAAAACATCATTTTTTAAACTGTAAGAAGTATTCAACATATGCAGACAGAAAAAGCATTTTGCAATGAGTTGAGGTCAGCGTGCTTCTACTCTTCCCAGTTAGCTTAGCTTAGAAATCTGGTGCCCTACTGCATAGAAATAGCTGATACTTCGTAAGCAAATGACCGTTGTGCTTGGACTTGGGGTGCTTTCGCATCAATCATTGCCCTGGCAAATGTCAGTGACCACATAAAAAGTCAGGAAGGCTCCAGGAAACCAGGAAACACCAGTTCCCTAAGGGAACAGTGATGGCTTATTAGTGTAAAACTCTATCTGGAGTATGGCATCTATCAGCATGAAATCAGTGCTAGGAGCCCTTCTGATGTGCATGTACATAGAACAAAAGCTGTTCACAGGCCTGCTTAATGCCTCAGCTTCAGTGAGTCAAGTGGAAACTGAGTCTTTGTTCCAAATTTCACCCTTTATCTCT